TTACAGGTATTTTGTGGTAGATTATGTGTGTTTTGCGAATAAATGTAACCAAAACTAAACTGTATTGGTGCCACGGATACCTGTTAGTACAAAATGCAGATAGCAGATTGCAGACCGGATACAAAATATAGACTGCAGACTGGTTACAAAATGCAGACTAAGAATCTGAAGAGTTTTTACGTCTGGTATATAATAACATGTCATCTTACAGCTTACCGAGCGTCACGCAATCGCTTTTCTGCGATCCGCCTTCACGATTACTTGCACTATTGTGGAATATTCCTGGCCCATTTCTTGATGAAAATCGATTGCAATATTATTTCAAGCCTTCAATATAGTCTTCTTATTTTGCGCGCGAGTTGGTTGGTGTGATGTCTGTACAGATTTTACCAACGTAATAAAAGTAGATGACGTGAATAACAGTGATGGTAAAGCAAGCTTAAAACGGCAGAAATCGCCAGAAAATACAACGAAAACACAGGGTATGAGTAAGTTTTATTGATTTTACGAGAAAAATCTTCATATTTCGAAATATGTATCGTTGTAAATCGACCATACTTCGTTCCCTATACTATTCCTTATAACGTGCAGTTCCTCTCGTAACTTAACACCGAGTCACACAGCGCGTGACGCGTTCATGAATTAATCGTTGGCTTTTTCTCGAGACGTGAGCTTGGGCCGCCTGTGACAAGACAATTGCGTAAACAATATTTAACATAATAACATTATACACAAAAAACACAGGGTTTTGGATCACGTATTTATTAAAAAAGAATATCCATACAACTACAATGAAAACAAACATAAGATTCACCTTTCTGATCGTAAAATTAATACCATTCGTACTGTTGTCGTAGCTACGTTAAATGTTAATTCTTGTTTAATCAAGGCTTTTGTTTGTGCGCGTGGTCGCGTGTGCGACAATTCTGCTTTTGTTAATTAACAGTAAACTATAATCAATACGCGACTTTTTCGCTTTTTTGTAAGTTTATGAAAGAATTTACAATAAACTTGACTGATCTTTACTCCCCAAACAACGGTGCGCCTTATAACCAAGTATTTTAACGATATTTTCAGTTTGAAAACATGCAATAAGGAAGTTGCCGAATTGGGGGTGCGTCTTATAGCCGAGTGCGCCTTATAACCGAATAACTACGGTATACAAAATACACGAAGGTCCATTCATGAATGAAATCTATAGGAGAAAGAAATGCTTGTTTTAACATAAATCCGGAAACAGCGCAGCCGAAACGTAAGTGAGTTTAAGAAAACCACGACGGCAACGGCAACTGGAACCTCAATAAACAACGAGTTTCATGAGCACAACAATGGCTGTGCACGTGTGTTATAAATCTTCGTAAATTTCTGTGCGTCCTCTGCAAAACAAAAACGTGAAATGATCAAACTTCGTGTTGTCTGGAGAACGTGAACGGCGATGGCTAAGTTTTTGAATTTCTATTTCAAATTTAACGCTGTGTTCCATGTTCAGTTTCCTGATAGTTTTTACGGCGAGAAACAAACTAAATGACTTTAGAGTATCGCGCGATTCGTAGGTAAAATATAAGTTCATCTTTTAACCAACGTTGTCGAAGGCGTCGCTGTCCTCGTTTCTTAAACTCAGGGCGATTGTTTTGCAGAGCCGAGCTTCTCATGCGCTGCACCTAATGAAAATGGTTAAATAATAGCTTGCCTTCATTTGGGGAAGGAAATTTGCGTTTCGAATTCATTTGTATTTCATTTTGTGTTTTATTTAATCTCCGGTTATTTTTTCCTCTTAGTTTATTTTTTCTCTTTGGCGACTAAAACCCAGTCTTGTCCCAATCTCTTCCGGACAAGCGAGAATAATGTCCCATTGTTCTCTGTTGCTTCTCGCCTGGGTTCTTGCTGCATTATATAAAAAAAAGTACAAGGAAAAACCAGTCTATATGGCCACCTCCTGCATATTTTTTCAGTCTAATGTCTTATGAATTTTTTCTTGTTTCAGTTTTATTACTATTCTTTGAAAGAGGACAAGGCGATTCAAGTAAGTTTGAAACCCGAACTGTTTCGGTATAAAAATGCAAATTATTTGTAAGTGTATTCAGTTTATAATATTCTTGTTGTTGATTGCAATATCAACGTACAGTTCCTCAACCCCACGAAAGTTTTTAATGATTGTTATTGGTAGCAGAAAGATATCGACTACAACCTTAATACCTACTCTCAGATCACAAGTTTTTCACACTAATCGCGAGTCCAAACTGAAAGCAAACTCGAGTCTAAAGTTCAAGCATGTATACAACTCGACGTCACACTATACTTAATAAGGCCTTCAGCAACTGATAAATTTCAAGGCTTAACTTATTCCATTTGAAAAGGGAAATTGCCTGCACATGTAATCTTTTTTTATTTAAAAAGGGGAATCGCCTGCAGACGTACTTTCACATTTAGATTTGAAAAATCATGTCTAGAATTCTACGCGTGCTGGGCATACTATGCACACGTTCACGTTTTCATCTGTGTACCTACACCTTCAAAAGTACTTAAAGCCGCATCTACTTTGCTTGACAGACTCAAGAAAATTTAGCTATGGAAATGCCACCCAAACAGAATTGTTTAGACTGATTGAAATATGTCAAAATTGGTTTTTTCGTGTGTAGACTAAAAATGATGCTGCCAATGTTTATAAAGTACAGCGAAGTATTTTAAGGAAAAAGAACACATCCTTTTTCAGAAAATTGGTCACACAAGGTAATAACCCTGATTTCAGCGAGCTGTGAGCTAAAATCCGCCACCCAAAGTTTTCATGACAGTAAATCAAACAATCAGTAAATTGTGTAAATTAGTATTATCAACTGAGTTGATGGCGTAAATTGGCCATCGTGAAGACTCTATTGCTTTGACGAAGGGCTAACGCTCGAAAAGTCAACTTTTAAACTCTTTACGGTGGCCAATCTGCGTTATCAACTCAGTTGTTAACACTAAATTACCCAGCTGTACTCTCTCACCAAAGCAGTACCACAGTCTCTTTCGAAACTTACCCTTATTCGCTTGATAAGCTATCAAGTAATGATTTCCTTAGATATGAGGCTCCGCTGAGGGAATTAAGTGCGCTTTAGCTCTATTTCGCACCAGTTACGAGTCAATAAGGGTTCGAGTTATTCAGATTTAAATGTATTAGTGATAAAAAATAACATACCTCTGGGGGAAGTTAGCAACTTGCCACCCTACTTAAGACTTCGAGTGACTCCCTCGTATCAGGATAATCTCCCATGGGTTCTCTCAATTTGGGTGACAAGTGAAGTCAACATTTTAACTAACTCTTTGTCTTCACAATAGTTTGTCCCAATGGCATGACGAACATCACAGCTTCCGGTGGTGAGCTTATATATCCTGAGTCAGGTAGTTATGGTAAGAATGAGACCAAATGTTGGAGCATTACGGTTCCCGACACTTATGCTGGCATTCTTTATCACTTTTCCAGGTCAGTTTTTCATGTATAATACTCGTCAGTAATATGCAAACTTTGAAGCTGACACTTCATTTCGATTTCATTTCATTATATCCCGAATTGCACCCTTTTGCTCTTAATCACATTTTTTCCGCAGCCAATGAGATAGCTTTACTAAAACACAACAACCACCAGATTTCAAGGCTTCTTTCAAGTAACCAATCAAATTTCAGGAAAATGGAAGACAACTTTTGCAACTTTTTATGAACCAGCTCAGTAGTGGATCAATGAAGTATTTGCGCAGACCAAATAAAAAAATCATGTGTTTTAGCGACTGAATTTTGCGTTTTCAAATTTTAATAAGGTGATGATTGAACACTGTGTCGTACAATTTTGGTCTGAAATCATACTTGTACTATTCGCCCGTTCGATTTTGGAATCACTCGTATGATTTCAGACCAAATTGTTCTTTATTCTTTTCAATTATATTAATAATCAATCACTCCTGTAATGGGACTTGTGATATTTTTTTCAGGGTTGACGTAGAAATGTGCTCTGATTGTAAGTGCGACTATCTTCAAAGAGGAACTACCTACAGCTATTTGCACCGGCAGACTAAATTATGTGGACGATATAGTTACAACTATTTACAAGGATATATCCTCAACGTCGACTGGACAGCTGGATTTTTTACCGGCTCTTTTTCTGAATCGACGGGCTATCTTCGCTTCGTGTCGGATGATACTGCACATTACACAGGATT